GGTAGAGGAGGAGACTCAAGGTGAATGCATCAGTTGTACCTCAGTTCCAAACCCCCAACTGCCCACTTGTAAAGTTCAGTAGGTAGTTTACTCGGACTTCTGGGCCTCGCTTTAATTGTCCTTGCAAAAGGAAAATGACTCCAAAGTGCCTCAGAATTGCTAGAAAAACAAAATAAGATCACAGTAAAAGCCAGACAGCATTAAAAGCAGACTGGCTGGGTGTGGCAGCTCACATTTGTAAACCCAGAACTCAGGAGGTTGAGGCAGGAAAGAGGACTGCAGCATGTTGGGGTCACCTAGGATACACAGGGAGTTCCAGGCTAGCCTGGACTACAAAAAAAAAAAAAAAAAAAAAAAAAAAAAAAAAAAAAACAAAAAACCAAAAAACAAACAAACAAAAAAAAACGAGGGAGGGTGACTCAGTGGATAAGGGACTTACATGAGGATGGATTCAGAGCCCCAGAACCTATGTCAAAGTCAGGAATGGTGACTGCCTATACTCTCAGCACTCAGGAGGCAGAGATTAGATCCCTGGGGCAAGCTCCAGGTTCAGCAGGAGCTGACTGAGAAAAATCCATTGGCTTTCCACTTTCACATTCACAAGCATATATACATGTGTACAAGCTTCCTCATATATATGAACCCCCTCACATATGAATACACCTAAGACACCCATACATATGCAGAAAAAGCATTTTCAAAAGTGTGGTTAAGAAACCACTGGACCTGAGTTTGTCTGGTAAGCTTGTAGGGATTGGGTATAGCTGATTGATGGTTGTATCTTTTTCTCAACAGCCTTTTTTTTTTTTTTTTTTTAATGAAGAGCAGACCAGTTTTTGTAACATGAAAATTTTGGTGCTGTTACCATCCTTTGGAACCAAGCCTCAGAATCAACACCCCTGAAAACTGACTTGGGAGTGACCAGCTAGCCGAAACTAAGAGGGCATACTCTCGTATGAATGTCACTAGACCGAGATAACCAAGCCTATGTGTATATAGTTATATGTGGTCACGTAAGGCAGTGGTTTAGCTCTAAGTCACTACTTTGAGTCAAATTCATAAATATCCATAAAATCGCTCAAAACATAAAGAGAAATGAAGACAGACTGTGTTAAGATGAAGTACATTCCTGAAGCGATTCTTGTCACTAAACAGCCGGGAAAGGGGTGGGAATGTGGTCCGCAAACACGAGCATTTGGGGGATAGAACAAGAAGTGGTGTCTGATGAGTGACGCTGGGAGGACAAACCAGCCCCAGCATGGACCGTAATGTAAGCATAGTGAAATAAAATTTTACTCTCCTTGCCCAATCTTGTATTTTTCCATTAGCAAGCAGCAGCAGACTCGGGCCCATGCCTGGTGTTCACCTTCCTTTCTGAAAGAGCACTTATTGAACCTGAGTAAAGGCTCTAAGCAGAGGAAGGGATACACTGCTCAATCATGCTGGACACTGTGTACGACACATTCGGACACCATTTAAGGTAGCTGGCTTTATTGTTCAGGCTTGCTGTATTGCTCAGGTTGTCCTCCTGGACTCATAAGGTCCTTTCCTCTTGCCTGAGTCTCCAATATAGCCAGGATGATAGGCACCTGGCTATATATACCCAGCTGTTTTAACCCGGTCATTTTATTTAGTTCTCGTGGTGCTGGAAATTGAACCCAGGACCTTGATCATGCTAAATAAATGCTCTATTGCAGAGCTACACCCTGAGGTCAACAACTTAGTCATTCTAAAGTCAAAGTACTCTCTCCCAGTCTAAAAGCTAGCCAATTAAACTTTATTTTTACCTTCTACATAATGTAAAGAATGTGTCCATTTAGACCGCCATCCCAAATGAGGACATGGCAATGACAGTATCTGCTGTGTGCTCTTGGTAGACAGCAAGCGGTTTGACATCATGAGGCCACTTTGGTATTGTCTTACCAACATAAAGTTCTACCAAGTTCTAAGAGCTTGTAAAAATGCTTCTTTAAAAAGCCTATAAACTGCTCATGGTGAGCCAGGGCATGTAGCTTTGTGCCTTTTAAGATACTGATTGTTGAACTTGGCCAATAGCTTTGCCCTCTGGCCCTGGAAGTCCAGAGCGAGGCAGTTGGCAGGAGGCCACTTCAGCTGCATCCTTACAGGGATCCAAGAGTTTAGAACTCCCAACACAACTTAATGAAAAAGTTTTCTTGGAAGTGCATCTTAAATTCAGGAGTCAGGAGTCTTTTATCCCAGAACCTACTTAGTAGGCAGAGGCAGGCAGGTCCTGTGAAATCGAGACCAGTCAAGACTATATAGCGAGACATTGTAAAAAAAAAAAGAAAAAAATTCTGTATGAGTATTTCCAAACTCAGAAACATGTTTTTAAGAAAGATAATTTTTAAGTAGGCAGTGATGGCATACGCCTTTAATCCCAGCACTCAGGAGGCAGAAGCAGGCAGATCTAAGTATAAAATCAGCATGGCCTACAGAGCAAGTTCCAGAACAGTAAGGGCTACAAGAAACCCGTCTCAAACAACCAACAAAAATTTTTTATTTATGCATGTGTATGTATCTGTGTCTGTGCATCTACAGGGTGGTGTGTGTGTACATGTGTATGTATCCGTGTCTGTGCATCTACAGGGTGGTGTGTGTGTACATGTGTATGTATCCGTGTCTGCATCTACAGGGTGGTGTGTGTGTGTACACACCTGCTCACACATGGAGGCCCAAAGAGGAAACCAGATCCCTCAGAGCTGAAATCACATTTGCAGAACACTGGGATGCAAACCTGTGCTTTTTCAATAAGTGCTCTTAATTGGTGCTGTTCATGAGCACACTAAAGGCTAGAATATGGTACTGTATTTGGTGATAGACTCAAGAAAAGTGGGTTTTTCTCTGATGGGTCTGGTAGGCAAGGATCTGCAAAAGCCTGAGCCTGGCAGCCTGGAGCTAGGATGGTTAACCCTAGTATAAAATTCAACGCAATTTTCCTATCTCCCAACAACAAAAAAAAAATGGTGAAACACAGAGTCTGGAGAACACCCAGATTATTACATCAACATACAATGGCACACTGGCTTCAAGGATGAGAAAGGAAAGGGACAGGGGATTAGAACTGTTGTTTTTCTTCCACTTTGGCACATAGGCTTCCTTTTTACTAAAAATAAAATGATTAGAATTAAGGAATGTTTGATTTAGCTGAAGATACGGGGTATTAGGATACCTGAACTAAGTAACAATAACTAAACCAGTGTGGTGGTACAGACCTATGATCCCAGCACAGAAGAGACTAAAGCAGGAGGGGGGTGAGTTTGACATCAGCCTGGCTATACAGCTGAAATTCTGTCTCACAGGAGACAAAAACAAAACAAAACAAAAACAAAAAAGGTAGAAATTAATAGAAGATATCTGAGCACCTACATCAGTGTTCTAGACAGAAAACCAGAAGGCAAAGAATTTGCTGGTAGCACAATGGCTTGTGTCATTAGTGCCCATTTGAAGATGACAACCCAAATCTCCAAGGAAGGGGTGCTAGCCTATGGTCTAATCTTTCAATCACCATTATCTCCAGTTAATTCTTCAATGAAAGCAAATACTAAAATGATAACATAGCCAGTCTACAAAAAGCCCACATTTTGAGACACTCCCTGCTGTTAAGTTCCATTCCAAGAGACAAGCAAGAAATACTTCCCACAGGTGGTGAAACAGGTTCCATGTGCTCTGCCCAGATCAGCTATTGAAGAAATGGGATACTGTTTCATGTCCAGACACCCAAACACAAGGCAGAGCAGAAAATTCTGCCCTGAACTCTGCTTCTGCTGTGTGATGGCTCACATGTTATACTGTCTCATCTTCAATACCCTTAAGAGGACAGAAATCAGGACCAGCAAAGACAGCAGACATCAGCACATTTATTGGGATTATTAAATAATTCATATACACTCAACACTAATACACAAAAATGACATTAACTTTTAAGATACAGCAATGCTCAAAGTAAGGTCCTTCAAGAATCACAAAAGCTTCTTAGTACTGCATCTTTAATAAATGGAATGACTACGCTAGCCATATCAGATGTATCTCAATCAACTCCAAAACTCAATACTGTAAACATGTTTTCTACTCAAAAAGCAAACAAAAATATACCCATAATTTAGAAATGTTCATTTTTTGGTTCATTTGTAAATGCCAGGGAGATATTTGATAAAGGAAAACACCTAGTCCCCTCAAAACCCAAAAAGGGTGTTCTCGTAGTCATCAGTAAGAATATTTCCATTCCCAGCTGACAGATTTCTTCTCTAGCATGAACAGGAAGTCTCACCTCATTTCATAGCTGTGTGATTAACCAACAAAGCCTCTCCTCTACTGGGTTAAAATACTAGGCGCACACTCACTATAATCACCCAAGAGCCAAGGCAGACCCAATGTCAGCTGTGGTGGGCAATCTCTATTGTATAGTATACTACTGTATGGAGGGATACTTTGTTTTCTAATGACAAGTATGTTGAATTGGTCTCATTAGTAAGTGAATTTTGTAAGACATATAGCAATGTATTATTTAAAAAAAATCTGTTCACGTGTTCCTACTCTTGATAAATTTAAATATAAAATCTAATTTCGCAAAGTCTGTGTTCTATTTAACCCTGTGTAGCAAATAATGTAAATGCTGAAAATGAGGAACATTTAAAGAAATCTCTCTATAAAGAACCTCAGGTACAGGGCTGAAGAGATGTAAAGAGATGACTCACTCAGAGCAAGTGCAGAACATTTGTTACTCTTGCAGAGGATCTAGGTTGTTCCCAGCATCCACATGGCAGCTCACAACTTTCTGTAACTCTAGTGGCAGAGGATCCAACACCTTCTTCTGACTTCTGTGGGCACCAGGCATACACATGGTACATAAACATTCATAAACATAATTCAAAATAAAAAGAGAAGAACTTTAGGTATCACTCAGCTTTAGGGATAGACAGGACAAAAAAAAAAAGAAAAAGAAAACAAATTTTAATTTTTTAAAGAAAGAAAATCATTCAGACTCTCAGACTTTATTGAACAAAGCAGGCAGGAAAGGAATCAAACATTTATAAGATATATTTATTATTTTTCTGACCAAAGTGCAATGATTTTTAAAATCTTTTTAAAACAAGTAACCATGAAACAATGTATTTCAGAAAATAAAATACAAATGGGAATTTTAACTATTAGATTGCTTTTCCTAATTTATTCTAACTCTGTATTTAGTCTAAGAAACAAACAAAACAAAAAAACCCTGAAGTATTATTAAAATAAGAATGAATCATATCAACATAAATTAGCACATGCATGTCGGGGTCTACTACTAAGAACCGTGTTAACATCAGTTAAATGATGACTAGCCCTATGTCACAGGGCATAGGAACACAAGTCATTTCCCCTTGCCCCACAGATTATGTCAGAAGAAAGCTGGCAATCTTGTCAGGCTCTGAAGCCCCGTCCCGACTCAAGCCTTGAAAGCAAAGACTATGCCCTGTCATACCTCTTTGCATATGCTGTAATAAGTTAACGCCTAAGTTTTAACTTTCGATAGAAAATGGTCAGTCATTTGATAAATACTAGAACATTGCTAGGAATCCATTTTGTGAGTTCGTTTACTAAATACCTTGTGCAAGAACTGACTAGACATAAAGTTCCTTTAAATTTGGTCCACAGATTCACTTAACAGGTTGGAAATCTTAATGTGCAGCAAAAGAATTTCCAAATCCTAACACGGTGCAATTACAAAAGGGATATACATGCATACTAAACAATTTTGCTCACAGAAGGCACAAACAGAAAAGGGACAGTCTTGTAACACAAACAACAACTAGCTGAAACCCTTCTTCATTTGGTGAGCACCATAATACCTAAGATGATCAAACATGAATTTACTGTGTACTGTGACCACAAATTAAAAATAGCACATAATTTGCCTTACTATATATTTCTAGACATTAATTGAGATGTAATTTTGAAAGATTAAAATTGCCTTAAAAGGGGGCTGTGATAGCAGCTATAAAGCAATATTCAAGCATGATTTAAAGATGTTTTTTCAGGGTTAGTTAGCCTTCTTTGTCAAAAATCTTCACAACTTCACCAAAAACCTATAAAGGAAAAACACAATTTTAAAAGCAGATATTATTAAAAACACTGTATAGCATATGTGAGATCCTGGGTTCAATTCCCAACATCAAAATTAAAAGTAAAACAAACTATACATAAAAGATTGTACAGCTAAGTTCCTGTTAAAAACATCAATTTTATATTAATTTTAAACATTATAATTTTTTAATCTATTTCACTTTACCAATAATACAAATGAAACACACAAAATTATGAACATGTTGCCTTCAATTTTATTAATGCTTTCCTGACAAAATGCACTTCTTTATGGGCTGCTAGTAGTCTGGTAAAATGTAAACTCAAGAGGCTAATCTCATTTTTGACTTTAAAACTAAGTCCTCTCACGTGCTGCCTCAACACTGTAGAAAGTGTCAATGGGTGAACTACTCAATGAGCCCGCCTCTGGGCCTTGCTTTTCTGTCCCTTGATTACAAGAGGAAGAAGATGGAGAGGACCAGGGGAAGGGAGAGTAGATGAACTCAGAAGCACTAGGGATACCTGCAGACAGATTCACAGACACGGAAGCACAGGCATGAAGTATGAACAAGACAGAGGCCAGAGTCCTGGGAGCCCTGCACCTCTGAAGCTCTATGTTCTGGAAGAGAGAATAGCTGGGCCCTTGGCTACGACATGCCAGTTGTACTACAAATCTGAACAAACAAGATCTAAATCAGTGTACTGAAAATACCAACCTTCCACTGAGGAAAGAGGTTTGGAATTAATAAACCACCCACTTCTAAAAAAATCAGGTCTGAAGTTGTAAAACCCATTTTAGACTTTAAAAAATAAAATGGGGGGGAAAAAAACAAAACAAAACCCAAAATCAAAAAGACAACTAATTTCACAGTTTGCCTCAAATGTTTCCCACCTACCCATGACCACACTTCTCACTTCTGTGTGCTACAAAGGCAAGGTTGGTGCACCTACCTCATCAACAGACCTAGAAGCATCTATTTTCTTGACTTTCCCCATTTCTTCATATAAGTCAATAATTGGTTTTGTTGACTGAAGATACGTCTGAATTCTGCAAATGAAACATATATTTCAAGACTGTAGGTAATTTGTCCTCCCTCTTCCACATTATAGAAGGTGACGACAGAGTCTGACTCACATACTTTTCTTTTTACAAGCCACAGTGCCTATACAAGCATGATGTTCTTTTCTGGACAAGAGAACAGGCATTTCATCTGTCCCCCAATGCCTACACCAGGACTGAGGTAGAATAAAACCTGCAAAGTACCTCTTCTCCAGGCTCTCTCTGTTGTCATCACTTCTACCACTGCTTTTTCCCCTTTCAAGACATCGCTCAATACAGATCTAAAAAGAGACAGAAGTAAAAAATTATGCTTAAAAAAAAACTCAAAAGGAAATATTTTGAAGAGACTAAAACAAAACAGAAAAAAAAACATCCTACATTAAACTCAATGTGTCTAACTCATTAATCAACATGCAAATCTTTTTAAATTTAAACATGTGGTTCAATTTATATAAACTAGGTTAAATAAGTACAGATCATAATAAGGATTCATTCATGACTCAGTTTTTCCTATGTATTTTTTTCAAGCTGCAATGAAAAGAAGCTCTGTGTGGGTGTGGCTTCATCTCAGACATATTATTAACTCATTAGATATGAATTACGTTCCTCAAACTTTGTATCATTTTTGGTTACTTTATAATAACTCCATAAATATCCAAATATTTGAGTCAACACATTTGAATAAAGCATCTCTTGTTAATCGTGAATAAACATTCCTTAGTTATAAAGCTGTGGTGACATTCTAAAGTTAACTTTGAAGAATAAGTGAAAACATATTTTTAAGAGTTGGGAGAAGAGAGTTACATTTTAAAACAACTCAAAGCCTGTGGCAAGTCTTTACCAGAGGCACATGTACAATCCAACCTAAGAATAGCCAACTTCCTTCAAGGCACTACTTCAGATTCAGACTGTTGACATTAATTTAATGAAATTTATAGCATAGTGGTTGTCAAACAGAGTCAAGCTTTTTAATTAAATGGTTCTGAGAAATTTACTTACTCAAAGTTATACCTGGGTATGCTATTAGAAGTGTCGGAGGTGGGGGAAGGATGTGTTCTTACTATTTCCAAGTAAATTTATCCTTAGAAGATAAATTCTCCTACATTTCTTTAAAATAGTAGGCTTCTCCACTTTTTCAGATATGTATCTTCTAGTAAACAATACACTGTTCCAAGTAGCTTCATTACTTGACATTACTGTGTATATCAATGCTTACTAAAACAAAAGTCAACTTAACTCTTATTTTTTTTTATTTATTTATTATGTATACAATATTCTGTCTGTGTGTATGTCTGCAGGCCAGAAGAGGGCACCAGACCTCATTCCAGATGGTTGTGAGCCACCATGTGGTTGCTGGGAATTGAACTCAGGACCTTTGGAAGAGCAGGCAGTGCTCTTAACCACTGAGCCATCTCTCCAGCCCCCAACTTAACTCTTATTATATTGAAAATAGAGCAAGCCTTAGATCACAAAGCAGCCAATGCCAATATTCTATTAGCAAGAAGTGCTGCTCTGCCCACCCAATCTATTCACTTACTAAATATATATACTGCTGCCAATAGAAAATGTAAATGAAAAAAAATCACTGTTTTTCTCTAACCGCTGATTATAGCTTGAAGCCCATGTGGGCAGATGAAGATGTTTATTACCTCATTATTACAGTCAAAAAACAGAACAAAAGATACATCTGCCTTCCCATCCATGGTCTTGTTCCAACCTTGAAGGTTATCTTGATTTCTTGGAAATCCATCAATCAAGAATTTATTCTTCTGAGCATTGGCAGCCATTGTTTGGTCCATTTCCTAAAGAAAAGAGACTTAGGCTCAATACTGTATCACCAAACGACAATTTCTTAAGCAGCATAGTGGGCACAGGACTATTTGCTATTATTCCTAAGACACAAGAGTGGAAGGTACATAGTGAAACAGACTAGACAGAAATGAGTCAACTTCTTGACATGGTTGCCTCAGCTGGCAAGACTCTAGCATGTGCTCCCCTATTCTCGCCACCTCCCCTCTGCAGCTTCCGTATCTTATGAAACACATCCTATAGTGTACCTGTTGACTGTCCTCTGAAGGTTCATGTGTTTGCTGAAAGCTTGATCTTCAGGACAGTGGCCTCACAGATCATTAGGGATACATTTTTTTTCCAACTCAGTTTGTCGCCCAGATTTTTTTTTTTTAATCTTAGTGAGCCACAGTGGTTTTGTTTGTTGTTTTTGTTAAGATTTATTTATCAACTTTATGCCAGAAGAGGGCATCAGATCCTACTATAGATGGTTGTGAGCCACCATGTGGCTGCTGGGAATTGAACTCAGGACCTCTAGAAGAGCAGTCAGTGCTCTTAACCACTGAGCTATCTCTCCAGCCCCTGGGGAATAAATTTCTAAAGAGGACTGTGGAATCCTGGCCCTTTTATCTCCTTACTTCCTGGCCAAGAGGTAAGCAGTCTGCTTCACCATGTCATCTAGCACCACTCCCAGGAGGCTGAACCCATGTGTCTACCTAAGTAGAATGACGGTACAGTGACAGCTGATCAGCACAGTGAATATCACCTCATGCAAATTACCACTAACCCAGAGCTTTGCTCCAGCATCTAGAGATCCTGTGTCGCCCTTGTGTTTCCCTCTCTAAATCACTGTGCTGTAGGAGGTATAGGCAAGGACTCACTATGTAACTTGGGCTGGTTTCCAACTTGAAATCTTGCTGTCTTAGTCTCTCGAGAGCTAGGGCTGTGGGTGTGCACCACCAACCCCTGCTGAAAGCACACTCCTTCTATAGGAGCTCAAATTCACTTTACTTCAGATCTAATAGCTAGAAGCTGGGAAAGCACTCTATTACTGCGTAATATTCCCAGTTTTGTTTTGTTTACTTTTTTGATTGTTTGTTTTGAGACAGGGTCCCAATTAATTCTCCAAGTTGGCTTTCAACTCTTTTGGTAGCTCAGGTCAGTCTTGACTGAAATTCCTCTGGCTTTGGCTTTCTAAGCACAGGCCTGTGTTACCAGGCCTGCCTGGTTGTTAACATTATTTAGGATTCAATATTTAAAAAAAAAAAATCTGGCCAGGTGTGGTAATGCATGCCTTTAATCCCAGCACTTGAGATGCAGAGACAGGCAGATCTATGAGTTTGAGACCAGCCTAGTTTATATAGAGTTCCAAAACAGTCAGTATTATATAAACAAACAAAGTAGTAAAAAAAAAAAACCCTCAAACTAATTTTATCTAAATGGAATTGGCTGCACCCAAACACTGACGCACAAGATGTAATACATTCAGAAGACTACAAAAACACTCTCACCATCCTTCCCAAAGCCTGAACTTACGCAGAATATGAGTAACACGAACAGGAGATGTAATCTCTAATCTGTCTAAATCCTTGGCACATCCGCTCACCAGTTGCACACCTCTGACAAGCTTTAGAGGGTCCTTTAGTCCAAAGCAAACTGACATGCATTGCTCTCCAGGTGCCAAGTTTCCTTGTTCCACAAGAATATTGCCAGGACCTATTTTCTTTAAGAGTTAGGCTCTAATTTCACAAAACTTTTACAGTGTTAAGTTCCTGCTACAGCATTTCTACCCCAATTATGATAGAAGGTCTCTAGAGAAGCCACATCAAACATGTTCCCTTAGTAGACATTCGTTTGAGATCTACTATCAGAGTGAGGTCACTGCCCTGGCTCCTGGAGGATTCAGAGTCTACTGGGTAACAACAACATATTATAACCTGCAAAGTCCTAGGACAACAAAGGATGTTCTTAAAATAAGAAATACAAAGTGCCTAGAGACTATGAGAAAACTTGACCAAAGAGTTGGCAGTGAAGTTGTTTCCTAAACAGTAAAGCAGCATGCCAACAGGGATCACTTAGACAGCTGGAATCAGGGATATAAAGGTTGGGAATGAGAAAGCATGACGGCTTTGATGAATCTGAAGCAAGCTGGTATAAATGAATCTTAGGGCATGCATAAATAGTTGTGGGAGATAAGATGGAAAGGAAAGAGGGTTAAAAGGCTCAAGTGATGGTAGAGACAGACAGATGAACAGGAGTGGATGAGAGAGCCTCTCACTAAAGAGTTGGGTAGTTAACCCAACCAATAGCCAAGACAGGAAATAAAGACACATACTTTAAATGACAGTTAACCTCTGGTAAGACTTTGACACATCTATGAGAAGTTTGGATAGAGACCTGATTGAAACATACCTGGAACCTAGAACAAAGGTTTATGTGTGCTGTAGAGTTCACCAGCATTGGCACAGTGAAAACACAAGGCATAGTTTAAAACAACCCAGCAAGGAACATATGAAATGAGAGCTGAAGAAAACCAAACTCTAAGAAGCATAGTGATTTAGAAAACTTGCAAAAGGGGGGGGGGGGGGGGGAATCAAGAGACTGAAAACAGCAGCTCCTACAATAGAAAGAGAATGAACAGATGATGTTACAAGAAATGGGTAGAGGGCTGGAGAAATGGCTCAGTGGTTAAGAGCATTGCCAGCTCTTCTAAAGGTCCTGAGTTCAATTCCCAGCAACCACATGGTGGCTCACAACCATCTGTAATAAGGTCTGGTGCCTTCTTCTGGCCTGCAGACATACAGACAGACAGAATATTGTATACTAAATAAATAAATAAACAAATATTTTTAAAAAAAGGAAACGGGTAGAATTAGTTTCAAAGAGACCTGCTTTGTTTTTCAAGACAGTTTCTCTGTGTAGTCCTGGCTGTCCTGGGACTCTCTTTGTAGACCAGGCTGGCCTCAAACTCAGAGATCCACCTGCTTCTGCCTCCCTTATGCTGGCATTAAAGGCATAAGCCATCACTCCCAGCTCGACAGAGACATTTATTAATTAAGATTTAAATGCTACAGGAAAAATAAAGACTAGACATATTTTCTGGGCTACACAGGCAAGATCACTGATACATACAAGAAGAGTTCTGCCTATAATCACAGGTGAGGTTGAGAATGAGGTTGGAAGATTCCAAGTTTAAGGACTACCTGGGCTACAGACTGAGTTCAAAGCCAACTGGGCCACCTGGTAAGAGCCTGTCTCAAAGATAGCAAGTATAAAAAAGGTTGAGGACAGCTCACTGACAGGGTGCTTGCCGAACATATTCAAAGCCCTATATTCAATCACCAGTACTGCACACAAAAAAGAACAGTTTAATGGAGATGTCGACTACCCTTTAATAACGCTCACCACCTATAATGCATTGGAGCCAGAAGACAGGACTGCAGATTTATTTACTCTTGAAAGGAAGCTGGTCTCCAGACTGAGGCAAGAGGCAGACTATGTAAGAGCCACTCTATAATGGTCTGCTCTGTCTTTTTAAGAGACAAGGTACACCCACTCCCCATCTAGGCAAGCTGATCTTCAGCTTCTAGCCTGAGTCCTTCTCCCTCTCAGCCTGAGTCCTCCCTCTCAGAGGCAGCTTCTGTCTCCCCGCACTTCTTCCCTTCTGTTTCTCTTTCTCTTTCTCCCTTCCTCTTTGCTCTTCTCCCCTTCTTTCTTTCCCCTCCATAACCCACTAAATAAATATCCAACCTCACTCTGCATGGCATGCCTATCCATGTCTGTCTCTCATTCTCTATGTGGCTCCCTGCCGGGGACCAGCCACCTTTGGAGACCTGGGGTCTTGTGACATGCCCATCTGTCTGTCTCTCCTTGTGGGACTGGCTGCCCCATCAAGGTCTCTTACCTACCACGTGGCTCCCTGCCTGGGACTTGCTGCCCCTTGTGGCCCCCAGCAGCCACTTGGGGACATGCACTGTCCCTGCCTGGGACTGGCTGCTCTTGGGACCCGCTGCCTGCTGCTGCTCAGGGACCTGCGGTGTGGTCTTATGGCCCGCTGCCCCTCGGGGAACCTGCAACATTTTTACTTAATCCATTACACACTCTATACCCCAAGTGTCTCCAGTTATTCCCAGGATTCACTGGGATCTGCTTATTGCTTCCTGTTCCTAACACTGCAATTCCATCTCACTGGTTCTTTTATGTCAAGATACTTGTTACTGACTAGCGTTGGGGATCTACAGCAAAGCAATACCCACCAACATATATTTTTTAGATCTCAGAGTGAAAATGGCAATGTGTTCATCAAGTAAAAAAGGAGACTTCAAAACAGAGAACATCAACAATGAGACAAACACAAGTGGGAGGCAAGGAAGGAGAGAACAAAGATTTCCAGGAAAAAAGAGGAAAGTGCAAGGAAAGGGGTGAGTAACCACATGGAAGAAGAATAACTGAATAACTGAATGCTGGGACGGATGGGCCAAGTACCTGTAATCCTAACAGGCAGATGTAGGAATATCCTAGACAGTATAACTTCCAGGCCAGCCTAGGCTACATGAGACTTTTTCAAAAACAAAAAATTCTACAAGTACCTTAGACTGGACTTTAGCTAGTCTTAGACCAAAGCAGAGAGTACTTGCTACTGCCAATTTCGTAACAGTGAAAGCAGTTCCTGTCATTTTCAAAAACCACAACTACCTTCCATAATCAAGAAATTTAACATTCTAATTTTTTGTTATACAAATGAAGGTATATTTAGCTTCTTGTGTCCTTGGTAGTTCCAATAGGTTGATATTCCTGCTCCTTACCCTCTTTAATAAACTGATGGTTATCTCAACAGGCACAATCTTTCCTTCTTTAATGTACTTTTCAATAAGTTCACCATACTGTGAATCTGGATTCTTCCTTTCATCACGAAGAAGCTCTCCAGCAGAAAGGTGTGTGTAGCCATATTTCTGGAACAAACAACATATAAAAATATCAGAATTCATTCAATTCAGTGATAGGAGTACACATAATTTTGTGTTAATTTCTATATTAGAATTTCTCTTCAATAAAGTAGTTTTGCTTATGGGGCAAATAATACTAAGAAATAATTTAAGAGATTTCATAGAGTCCAGTTTTCCTATTAGTAAATAGCCTTGCCCCTTAATAACCATGTCTGCACAATGAAATCATCTCAACATTTATCTAGTCAAAAGCACTGACATCTCACTATATTCCTTCACAAACACAAAGTTTAAATGTAAGAATGAAAATGTCTACCAAAAATCTGAGACTCAAGTCAAAAAAGTCAAAAAGTCTAAACTGAATTCATCTCCACTTCTGCCAACTCCATTCTTCTGTCCTCTTTCTTTTCCCTGCAAACAGCTCGTGGCCGCCTATACCAGGAGAGGAGCTTCTTGACTTCTCGGAACACCTAAACAATCTGTCACACCACTCAGGCCAGCCTCTTCAAATCCATTTCCTAACTTTGTACTCCTAAGAAGTCTCGATAATAAAATGAGAATATAGATACTTATTTTGTAAGCTTGTGGTCATGGCTAAATAAGATAATGTACATAAATCACCTAACATATATTATAAAAGGATAAGAGCCATCAATTGCTTCCTTGCCATCATAATTACTGCGTGCACGAATCTGTGTGTGTGCACACGTGCGTGCAGGTTAAACATGAAAGTGGCACCCACATCCGTGTGTAAGCTAGAGAGCATATAGACTAGAGAGATCTGTCATACTCAAACACCTTACACATTCATGTTTACCTTTTCTGCAGCAAGGTTCTTTCACTGGCCCGGAGCTTGCTATGTAAGCTAGGCTGTCTGACCAGTAAGTCCCAGGGATCTGCTTGTCTCTGCCTCTCCAGTGCTGGGATGACAAACACCCACCATTATAACCAGCTTTTTTACCTGGGCTCTGGGGTCAAACTCATATCCTCATGCTTGTACTTTACACTGACCAAGCTGTCTCCCCAGCCCAACATACTTAGCTTCAAATAATGTTTTTTATATTATACAGTCATATACCTCCTATCAATTATCTATCTTAAATAAATATTTGAGACAAAGTTTCTCTGTGTAGCTTTTGTTCCTGTCATGGAACCAGCCCTTGTAGACCAGGCTGGCCTTGAACTCACAGATATCCACCTGCCTCTGCCTCCCAAGTGCTAGGATTAAAGGCAGGCGCCACCACCACCACCCGACTTAAATAATATTTTTATATTATATAGTCATATACCTCATATTAATGTTTTGATCAATAAGAACCACATATACAGTGGTGGTCCCAAAACATTATAATGAAGCTACAAATTGCTATCACCTAGTGACATCTAGGCTGTCATAGCACAATATACACTCATACACTGTAGTGATGCCAGTATAGATAACACTAATGTACTGCCAGTCATATAAAACTATTGCATACAGTTAGGAACAGAGTACAATACTTGATAGCAAATGCTCTATTACTGCTCTGTTTACTATACTTTTATTGTTATTTTATATTGTTATTATACCTTCTAATTATAAAATAAAGAACTCCACTGAATAATAGCATGTCACATTACTCAAGCATCAGACTCATATATCTCATGCATTTCATGGTTACCTTTACTGCAGCAAGGGACCACATCAAGTATCTGACCTATCTATCATATGGGTTTGTACAAGTTCAAACAATCTTACGATGTTTGAACAAAATAGCCTAGTGGTGCATAGCTCCATCATTAAATGAAACACGCTATAAGGACAAGGAGAGAACGGAAATGTTGCTGAGTTAACACCATAAAGTATATCTATAAAAATTAAAATGATGGAACCAATCAAAGAAAGGCAGGAGGGAATATATGAGCAAGGGAGTCCAATATCATGATGGAGAAATCTACAGAGACAGCTGAACCAAGTTCGTGCAAACTCATGAACTCTAGACTGACAGCTGTGGAGCCTCCATGGGACTGAACGAGGCCCTCCACATGTGAGACAGTGGTGAAGCCTGAACTATCTGAGTGGGACCAGGATCCATCCCTGGTGCATGAGCTAGCTTGTTGGAGTCCATTCCCTATGGCAGGATGCCATGCTCAGCCTTAATGCAGTGGGGAGGGGCTTGGTCCTGCCCCAACTTAATGTGCCAGACTTTGTTGACTTCCTAGGGGAGTCCTTACCCGTTGGGAGGAATGGATAAGCAGTGGACTCAAGGGAGAGGGGAGAGGGGAGGTGAAGGGAGGAGGAGGTGGCGGGGGAGAGAACCGTGAATGGAATGTAAGATGAAATTAAAAAAATAAAATTAAAAATTTTTTTTAAAAAAGAAAAAAATTAAAATGACTATAATATCATTAGGTGATATGATCTTCTGAGGCTAAGTTGTAAATGTGGCCTTGTGACTAACTGAAATTATAATGTAGTACACAGATATATACACACTAAAGGTTTTACTTAAAAAAAAAATCAGGCAATGGGCTTCGGTTAGACAGCGTCAATGGCAATGACAAAAGACTCATGATGAGATACTAGGGGAGAGTGACAACTAAGCTAAATCACATGGTACTGAACTGCCACTTCTTTGTTTTGTTTTTGTTTGTTTGTTTTTTTTTTGTTGTTGTTTTTGTTTTTGTTTTTTGGTTTTTCGAGACAGGGTTTCTCTGTGGTTTTGGAGCCTGTCCTGGAACTAGCTCTTGTAGACCAGGCTGGTCTCGAACTCACAGAGATCCGCCTGCCTCTGCCTCCCGAGTGCTGGGATTAAAGGCGTGCGCCACCACCACCCGGCTTTTTTTTTTTAATTTATTTATTTATTAAAGATTTCTGTCTCTTCCCAGCCACCGCCTCCCATTTCCCTCCCCCTCCCCTAATTAAGTCCCCCCCCCCCTCAGCCCGAAAAGCAATCAGGGTTCCCTGTCCTGTGGGAAGTCCAAGGAACCCCGCACCTCCATCCAGGTCTAGTAAGTTGAGCATCCAAACTGCCTAGGCTCCCACAAAGCCAGTACGTGCAGTAGGATCAGAAACCCAGTGCCATTGTTCTTGAGTTCTCAGTAGTCCTCATTGTCCGTTATGTTCAGAGAGTCCGGTTTTATCCCAGGCTTTTCCAGACCCAGGCCAGCCGGTCTTGGTGAGTTCCCAGTAGAACATCCCCATTGTCTCAGTGTGTGGGTGCACCCCTCATGGTCCTGAGTTCCTTGCTCGTGCTCTCTCTCCTTCTGCTCCTGATTTGGACCTTGAGAATTCAGTCCTGTGCTCCAATGTGGGTCTCTGTCTCTGTCTCCTTTCATCGCTTGCTGAAGGTTAATATTCAGGAGGATGCCTATATGTTTTTCTTTGGGTTCTCCTTATTTAGCTTCTCTAGGATCACTAATTATAGGCTCAATGTCCTTGGTTTATGGCTAGAAACCAAATATGAGTGAGTACATCCCATGTTCCTCTTTTTGTGTCTGGCTTACCTCACCCTCACTCCAAATCTTAAGACCCCTTCAATGAGGTTTTATCTTGCATGTATATAACTTAAATGAACATTAGGGTGTGAGGCAGTCCACACTATCACCCCACTTGTGAAGTGTCAGTGTGGTAGTATATATCTGTAATTCTAGCTACTCAAGAGACTGAATCGGGAGAACACTGAGTTTAAGGCAATTAAAAAAAAAAAGCATTTCAACTGAATTTTTTTTAAATCTCCCAATGGGGGGGGGGGCTGGAGGGATGGCTCAGTGGTTAAGAGCACAGGCTGCTCTTCCAGAGGTCCTGAGTTCAATTCCCAGCAACCACAACCCCAGTGGCTCACAACCATCTAGAATGAGATCTGGTGCCCTCTCTGGCCTGCAGACATACATGCAGACAGAACACTGTATACGTAATAAATAAATCTTTTTTTTAAAAAATATTTATTTACTTATTTTGTATACAATATTCTGTCTGTGCAGGGCAGAAGAGGGCACCAGACCCCATTACAGATGGTTGTGAGCCACCATGTGGTTGCTGGGAATTGAACTCAGGACCTTTGGAAGAACAGGCAGTGCTCTTAACCTCTGAGCCATCTCGCCAGCCCCAATAAATCTTTAAAAAGAAAAAATCTCCAAATGACCAAGGTTATAAATGAGCTTTCCAATATATCTTTATTCCCATTCCATTTCCCAAAAGTGTTGGCTAAATTTCTTGCTCACAAAATAGTAAGGTAGCAATAACACTGTCAGCAAAAGAAAAGAAACTCTAAAGGGGATTTACTAACTAAACTTGGATATAAAGTTGGATGAAAATAAATAAAAATCATAGCATCACCATGTTTCTGTCTCATTCCTTTAAGTGTTTCTGGTAAGAGAAATTATCAGAAGTATTAAAATTGCAATTGGTTTTTAAAAAACTCCCATTATTCACAGAAACTAGAAATATAAAATTGTTCAATTACGTCCCTACTGGTTGCTCGATGCCTACTTGATCACCCAGTATATAGGCGCAGGACTTTATGAAAAACGAACTGTGACCTACTTTCCCATTTACTATGTACAATTTTCAAAAAGCACTGTGTAACTACTGTCCACAGAACTTTAAAGCAGCTTCAGCGCCCACTGTTTATTTTGGCTTTTACTTGGAAGCCCCTGCTTGCCGGATGCTTTCCTCTGGCCTAAGGCGTATGCACATGGTGATACTGAACAAAGGCAGAGGCCAGCAGCCCTAATGATGGCAAGTGCTCAGTGACAGCACCACGGTGCCAACCATGCAAGCTCAGAAACCTGGCTACTGACACTGGAGAACTCAAACTGGCAAGATTTATATTGTCTTAAAATGGGATTACATCATTTTTTTTGGAAAAGAACTAGCTATAAAGCAGATCTACAGATATATATATATATATATATATATATATATAAAATATGCACATCAATGGTATTTGTAAAAACAATTTTTGAATTTTATTTTTAATTTAAAATTTTGTGTGTGAGTGTGGCTTTGTGTATGTGAGCGTTGTACC